TTAACTATGACATCTCAAACAGGACCAGTAAGGAAACTTTCAGGACAGACAATACTAGAGTGAATTATGGTTCACTTGCAGGAATATATCAGTATTTAGGTCATAATATTTATGTACTTTGAATGTAGCATTGTGTAACCCATATAAAAGGAGTTGCTGAGTATGTATAACACTTTTAAATGTGTAAAAATATGGAGAACACTAAACAAATACTTGTGCAGCACAATGAAATGTAAAACAAATTAAATGTTTCTGTTCAGGGTAAAGTAACAGCGATGTTCATATTACAAAGGCTTTGTATAATGGTTCATGTGAAGCAATATCCAGCAAATCATGACATTTTACTCTTAGTATGAGGCATTTAGAGTAAGAATGATGAATGAACAATCTTGAGATCTTGAGATAAGCTTCGAAATGATATCTGAGAGGACATGTTCATTTGGCAGTATAAACTGAAGTTATAACTAGCAGGATATGTTGTATTAGCACATGAAATAGGAAGTAACATGGCATAAAAACAATCATATATAAGTCCCCATTTACCCACAGCTAATACATAACTAGTCAGTGCGTCAAACCCTTGACCAAGCAAAAGTCTTAGATTAACCAAAAAACAAATATCTTTATTATTGGAGCTCACCTGTTATTAATCCATCCCAGTCAAAATGCCAAGGATTTCTTTCTATCTTTCCTTTTGTCTTTTTTATTTTTTGAGGAGTGGGGAGCTAATTGGAACATTCTTTTTGCTTTATGATGATTAGTATGAGATGTAGCTGGAATTCAGAGTATATCGCAATCACTTGTTGACCAAGAAAGACTTTGAAAACTGAAATCATTCTCATTGACTTTGTAGACTAGCCAGTTTCTCAAGATTTCCATTTGTTATGTTCACTGTTGTTGCTGAGAATACCTCATATAAAGTAAATGTAGTATTTATGCTATTTTCTTATTTCAACTTGTAACCATTGTAGCATTAACTTGTCAGACCTGCATCATGAGGATAATAAGTACCAAGAGGAGAAAATAAAAGAGCAAAATAAAGATAAATATTTAATGGGAAATCAGGTTTTGCTTATGGAGCCTTACCCTGCCAAATAATTAGGAGTACTGTAGTGCAAAAGGAAGTAATGAAGGTACCCATGCATATTAACATACTGATCTGCCTCACATTGTCTATTGGCCTCATGAATGAAGAGATTTCCCTCTTTGTTAATTCTCCATGTGCACATTTATCTCAGTATTTCATTGAATGCAAAAACACATGTGATAGAAGAGAGAAGAGGTAAAGAATCAAGTAGAAAGATGCTTTGATGATAGTGAATAATATAGGGGAATTAACTTGTAAGGTAATCCATAAGCAGTTACTTATATGAAAATTGCTTCTGAATATTAGTTTGTATGAAATGTCAATTGATTTCCCAAATATCCCGCTGTCCAGAAGAAATCTGAATGCATGATTCCTAAACTGCTATTAAAAATATATATTAAATGGTAAACTTTAAAATTCAACAAGTGATGTAGGTTGGAAAAATGTAAATTGTTTATCTCCTTGTAAGTGTTGCAGTTTTTTCCCATAGGTGTTCCTCATGTGGTCAACCAATGAAATTAAGAACCCTTTTGATGCATTAACCAAGACTATCTTCAATCTAGTATGTTTAAGGTAATGCTTTAAAGAAGAATCTCGCACTAGAGGTTCAGAAGACAGGAAGATCAGGCAAGATGACTATTTGAAAGAATAATGATTTAGTAACAAATTCATATTATCTGTATTTCATATCCTTATTCTTACTTGTGATGTGGTAAGGATGATATTCAGTGCATATTGCCCACAGGTTATATTTTTTTGTTTTTGAGTTGTTTTTACTCAGGTACCATGTTAGTGATAGTATAATTGTGTTTCTTTGCTTACATTTCCTCACAGGACTTCTTTTAGGTTTTGTTTTAGTGGAGCATCATTCAATTTTCGGAATGCATGCTGTAATGTTTTCAATTCATCTTTCAAATAACATTTGTGAACAAGAGGCAAAAAAATGTGTTTAGAAATATGAAATGAATAAATGATACATTTTGAAGATAACCATGAATCAGCAACTCAAACTTCACTCTCATAAAAAAAAGCATGAATACCATGAGAAAAGCACATCTGTAATTGATGTTTCAGAGGCAAAAGTAACATTAAGCAGTTCACTACATATAATGCCTTTGGTATAATTACAGGTCAGATCTGATCATAAGTAAGAGTTCCACGTCAGAGTTCCACTGACCTTTGAGGCGACCACCTAAACATTTATTGACATATCTGGAACGCTGTGATTGCTCAAATTACTTTCTAAAAAAAAGTACCTGCAAAAAAAGTGGTGTCTTCAGTTACCATTGAAGATTTTATCCCAATCTGTGATATTTTGTGCTTGTGGACATTGCATTATGTCTTTGATGCATATCATTTTTCACCAAATTGTAAGTCCTGTTTAATTTTGAAAAATAAAAGCATACATCCTAA